CGAATGGTGGTGGTTTCATCGAATTCTGTCCAGTGGTTCAAGAGTTATGATCGTTTTTGTAGGTTAACAATATATTTTAGAATAAAAGATCATTTGAAACTATGAATTCTAATGCATTGCATTTGGAAGTAGGATTTTATATGGATTAATAATACTATACATCTTTAGATGAGTTATATATCAACCTCTTCATGCTGGTAATTTAATAAACACTTCTTTTATTTTTATTAAATAAATTGTTAAAAAAGAAAAATCCTTGAAAGTTCATCATGTATTACTACAAATAATATAAAAAATTAATAAAAAATTAAATATAATATATAATAACTACTACATACATATATAGTAATAGTTACCTGATCAAATTAAGAATATGAGCACAACAAGATGCATGAATAAGTTGCAGCATTAATGGTTTCAATACATCTTTATAACATTTTTTCATATATGCTGCTGAATCAGATAAAAAAAGATACAGAGCATTGAATGAAAAATTATAACTTAAAATAATAGAAATTAAAGTTTAACTCATAATTGTATTATTTATATATTCAAGAAAATTAACAGAAACTAATTTAACAGAATTACAAAATACAAAAAATGTATTAACAACACTTTGAGCACAATTATTAGTTGTCTCATCAATAATAATAGCAACAGGTTTGTTATTAAAAAATAAAGTAAGTGCAGTTTGATGTTTTTCAAAGATATAGTAAATAAGTTTGTCTTAATGTCAAAGCCTGAGGAATTGTTCTACCATATTTGAGATATTTCTTAAAAAAAAGAAGTAGATGATCTACTTTTTCAAGTAGAATATCAGTGATAGCAAAACTTTCAACCAATTCTTCTATAACTTTATTTTTTATCTTCATTGTACTTAAACTAACTTGAATTGATATTTGTTTTTTTGTATTTTCTTGACTTTCAAAATTGCTTTTATTTAATTTATGCTTTTTGCTATTACAATGACCATTGACTGTTGATTTATATTTTTATTCAACGGGTTCATTACAGTATTTGCATATTAAAACATTATTATCAGTATGAAAAGTATTGGAATGTTTTTTAATTTGAGTTAATATTGAAACACTTTTATTTTTAGATATTATAATTCATTATGCAATTTAAAAAATAAATTTTAATTACTAACGATTGCAAAAAAAACCTTATTTATAATAGATTACAACATATATTGAAACTATAAAATATACAATAACTTCGAAAAGTTCTAAATTTTTATTTCGATAAAATTAATTAGTAACAATTAATAATGGGTTTAAAAGAAATTACAGTAAACTTTATGGAATATTATTTTTTTTTAAAAAAAAAATAATAAGTAAACTTTAAATTAATGAGTAAACTTTAAGGAATATCAATTTTAAGAATAAAACAAAAAGAAAATCAAGCCATTTTTTAGGGTTTACTAATTTACCCCTATTGTCAGATTGGATGATGATCATCCCATTGCTGATTGGACAAAATTAATTATCAAATTAATCATTAATTATTCAAGATAAAAAAAAACTCTCTAATTTAAAAATTATATCGATATACAGTTTTGTAAAATTCACGAATACTAGAATAATATATTAAATTTTAAAAATTTGTTTTATATGTACCTGCTCATAATCACAAAACATGTAGATTAGTTGCTACTGTATTATTATATTTCCTTTTATTTATCACTACTATAATTATTAAAAATGTGCTAATACAGTATTTTACATTAATGAGTTTAATTTATTATTATTAACTAAATACAATATGTATTAACATATTTTTTTTATTGTTTAATAATTACCAAGTTTTATTTCGCATATTGAGTTATTAATTAAATTCTTATATTAGTTATTTATTACTATATGAGTTAATTTTTAGATTTTTATTCAAATGCTTACATATATAAAAGTATAATATTATCACCTTTATAAATACTTGAGAATCTTAATATTTTAAATAATATTTCATTAATGAAATCTTTTAAAAACTTTTTTATTTATACTTATATCAACTTTAAAACATTTAAAAGCAACACTATACTTGAAGAAATTACAAATAAAAATATATCATGCAATTATATACATAACAATACTAAATTAATGATTATAAAATAGATAAATTTGAAAATTTTTGATATGCATACATAATATTAAAAATTAAAAATTACTGTTTCCTAAACTTTATATTTGATGCAATTTGAATGATTTTTGGTTTATTGATTTGTGACATAGTCTCAATCCTGGCAATTCTAGCTCTTTCTATTTGAACAGTTTGTTGAAAAGCTTCTCGTAAACTATGAATGTCTTGTATATTTCTCTCTTTTCATTCAACAATAATTGCAGAAAAATCTTTCTGTAATTTCATAATTTCAATATCTTTATTATATATTTCAATATTCACTTAATTAAAAAATTTATATAAATTATAAAATAATTATTAGACATTTATTTATATAAAAATATACTAAACCAAAATTTGAATTAATTGCTTACTATATTCATTCTCTTTATTATTATCATAAATGTGAAATTGAACTAATACTGTAAATATATGTTTGCAAGCTAATTGACACTTTTTAAAGTTTAAGCAAGTACAACATATGATGTAATATCCATATCATTTTTATCAGAATTTCTCTTATGAATAGAGTATTCAACATCATTATTTATTATTAAATGAACCAACCAAACATCTGACTGAATTTTATAAATATTATTTTTATTTATATTTTTTGTTTTAGCAATTTCTCTAATATGTTGTTGTTACTGCTTAGGATTCATCTGACCAATTCTTAATTCATTCAGAAGAACTGAAAGGTTTATATCTTAGAGCACAATATTTACTAGCAAATAAACTTCACTATCAAGCTGACATCCTGAACATCCTCTCATAAATGTATACTTCAGTTTACAATGAAAAGATTCTATCAAATTATTAGTATCAATAATATCACAAGCTACTCCTTGAATATATATCATTCACATTTCATATTTGAATTACCAAAACCATTCAAAGTAATTTGCAAAATCCTTTATAGCATCATTATTTAATTCTCTCCACCTATTAATTGTCTTTGCAACTTGTTGCTATGCTTCTATATCATTTCACCCTTCAGTTTTCATAAGTCATCATAAATCTTTCCAAATGATTGCCTTATTTGGATTGATATTCACATTATTTTTATGATCCAACCTTCTGTGCCAAGAATGCAATACATGAAAATGACATAAAAATATAGAACTATCTGGAAAACTTTTCTCAACTGACTTTATCTTCTCTTTAACATCATCTACCATAAATATATCCAGATTCAAACTTTTATTTTTATATTTTAAAAATTCTAATCATCTTCTTAATGTCAATGATCATTTAAATTCGCTTATCAAAAATGCAATAGGATAATCAGTTCCTGTTATTGGATGATGTATAACAATATTAAAAAAAAATGATAACCATAATGATTCATATCATAGGTACCATCTAGACACAAAACTCTAGCAAGCTTCATTAATTCTCTTTGTTCTTTTATCTGAAATGCAAATAAAAACCTGAAATTATTTTTCTTATTACAGTGTTCAAATAGACAGCTTTCACCTTCATTAATTAATTTTTCTTGTCATTTATCTAAAGAATAGAATTCATTTTTATTAAGATAAATGAGATCATTCATCGTATTATAGACAATTGAATATATATTATCACATGTTATAAGAGCATCTCGTAACATTTGAACATCCTGTAATTGGCCTTTAACAACTTTCTTTATTTGATCTTTAAGTTCAATTGCTCTGAATCGTAAAAGCTTCTGTATGCTGAAAGCATCGAGTCCTTCAAGAGCATGTTTTTGAATAAATTCTCTGATATTTTTAGAGAGAGGAAACATATATAAATCTGATAAATAACCTGGAAAATGATTGGTATGTTTATAATAATACTTTAATATCACTGTGGATGAATTAACAGAAAGTGTTACGCATATAGAGCTTTTACAACCATATTTTTTAGTTTCTTTTTGTGTAATTCGTGGTTTTTTATTCGAATGCTTTCCAGCGATACTTTCATATGACCCATAATGATGACAATACCATCGCTCAGTCCATTGATTTTTTTTCCTAGCACTACCCAAATTACTTTAACAATCATGTCGAACATAACTTAGGCCCGCTTTTTCAAGGTTCTTAATCCATATTACATATTCATCTAATGGAAGTAAATATGTTTTTACTCTCTTTGATTCTAATTTTTCTTCTAATACTGTATTATCATCTTCCATTGCTTCCCATATATGACCAACACTGTCAGTCGTGTCTAAAACAGAATCAAACATATTGTCTATATCATTTTCACATCTATATCAATTTCTTCGACTTCCTCATAAATATCAAAAATCGCATTAATGTCAGGAGGCGTTAACATAATAATAAACTGTTTAAAAGCGAGTGACAAAGAATAATGAACTGTTTAAAAGAGAGTGACAAAGGCACGTGATTATGTGAATAAAGTATACGATTATGAATAATAATACGTTCGCAGTACAGTATAAAACTTTTTTAATTTTTTTTTTACTTTTGGAAAAGCACGGTAAAAATATATATCTTTATTACTACGCCACTTGATAGAAAGAAAAAAACGTGAAAGCGATTGCTTAAAAAAAAACTTTATTTAAGAGAATTTTAGGCCATGACGTATCCATAACGTGATACATAAAATGACGATCATAATTAGCTACTAATAGTACAGTGATGATTTTTTGTCCAATCAGCAACGGGATAATCGTCATCCAATCCGACAATGGGGGGTAAATTAGTAAACCCCATTTTTTATTTTGCATTTAGGATACAATGTAACACGACATATAAATTTGCAAATTCTGTACATTTTTCTTAAATTTTGCAAATTATGTGGAATTCTGTTGTGACATAAACAAATTCTGTGATACGAGTATAATTCTGTAATTTCTGTTGTATTATGTGAAATACAGAAAATCACCGTCCCTGTTCGGCATTTTCTCTCAAACAGTAAAATCAGTTTCGTTTCGCGTACTTCTAGTCATTTAAGTACTGTACTTACATTTTCCCTTTTTTTTAAAAAAAAAAAAAATTTTAACCATACAAAAAAAATGACATCTCCGCAAATTTCAAATCAAAAAAGAAATAAGTCCTTGTTCTACGTTACATTTCTTGATGGTTTTCGTGGTGTGGCAGCTTTATGTGTCGTTTGGGCTCATACCCAGACTATATTTGGCCAACGTTTGGATTTTAATTCATTCGACTATGTTGGATTCTATGGAGTAATCATGTTCTTCGTGCTTTCCGCTTTTTTACTTACTTTTCGAATGCTATTGGATTGGGAACAGTATCACGAAAAGAAAGAGAAAAATAATAACTATTTAGAAAGTGATGTGGAATCCGAAGCAAACTTTTCAAACGTTCCACTTTTATCATCGACTAATGATCATTTAGAAAAGAGTGTGGACCTCGACACAAACTTATCAAATGTTCCACCCTTATCATCGACAATTAATGATAACATTGTAATGTTTTACTATTTATATAATGAAATTATTTTTATAATTATTGCTAATATTTATTAATAAAATATTAGACAGAAATACCTTCATTAGGAGAAAAACCTGTTCATTTTTTCTACCATTATATCCGTAAAAGAGTATGGCCAAAATATCAAACACCAGTAAAATTTTGGTTAAAGTTCTTTCTTCGTAGATTTATGCGCGTATACCCACCATATGCGATTCTTTTACTGTTTATTGCATTTAATGGCTTCCTGACAAATGCATATCACAATTTTATGGATTCCTCAACTTTATTTCAGCATCTGTTTTTTATAACGAATTTTAATTATATTTTTTGGACTCTTCCTCTAGAATTATCGGTATTTGCTTTTCTAATAGTTTTGATAATTTTGATAATGTTTCACTAGTCAAAATTATGTAATTTCGATATTTTTCGAATGGCACAGTTCATTGCCATTCAGCATGCCATTCATTCAACTTATACGTTTGTTAAGTGATAGTCGAATGGCAGCTGAATGGTGCCAGGATCTTTTGCAGTACAAGTGACACTACTAAAAAATTTATTGTTAATCAATTGATTAAGAATAGGTGTCACCCATACTGCAAGAGATCCTGGTGGTGCCATTCAACATGTCGAACTTTTTTTGATTTTAATTAGTGATTTCTTTCATAATGTATTAAAATTTATAAATCAAATTTGTCGCATATAGTATTATTTCCGTATACCAATAATTGTCATTGGATATGTGGAGTTTGCCCGTTTTGGTGCTTTCCTTACAAACCATTACTTTAAAAAACCCGCAATTGGTGCTTGGATATGTCGAATTCTTGCTAATGTTATTATAGTAAATGTACGAACAGAATTATTAATATCAAGTGATGAAAGAAACTTGGATTTTGTGAATACAGATGGCTCTCGTCATATCTTTGTAACTGGGTCAATATGTGCAATTTGGTACAGAGAAATAATTCGTCTTGGATTGTTGCCATTGAGCTTAGAAGAAGAGAATATTCTGGACGATAAATCAAACAATTGTAATACACCTATATTTATAAGATCGAGTTTTGTTCAATTAATTATTAGTAAATTACCAAGTCGACATCAGTTTGCAAGATGTTTTTTTGACTTTGGATGTTATATCTTAGTTTTCTTGAAGATTTGTACATTGCCTCATCATGCTGAAGTAGTTTTTGGCGAACCTCGCGCTTATGACATTATTATAGAAAGAAAACAACTTGGTGGTTCGCTTGATGCAATAATAATTCTTTGTGCCCTCCTCTCTCGCAGTGGCTCTTTTGTAAAGGCACTTTCTTGTGATTTTTTACGTTTTTGTGGAAAAATTTCATTTAGCATGTATTTATTACATCCGATTGCAATGACATGGGTGAACGATTATATGCCTTTTATTGGAATTAAAGCGGCAGAAAAAGAATCAAGTGAAACTGAGAAGGGTAATTTTATATTGGATGCGGTGATGATGTCATTTGTGGGAACAATTGCTTTAGCATGGATCTATTTTAAATGTGTTGAAAGGCCTTCTATGAATTTAACTAACTATATTGCGAAGAGATGGTTAAGTGTGAAGCCTGATATTAATAAACATTAATAATTTACTTTCATTAACTTTACTATTTAACTTTTAGTACTCGTAGTATTAGTATTACTTGAATTTATTTAATCTATAACTAGTGATACATATTATATCTTGTATTTTTAGTTAGGTTACTTCAAGATTATTATTAGTTAACACTTTTTTAGATCGGTTTTTGAAATTTTTTTTTATAATTAGGGTTAACTGTCGTAATAGGTTGGGAAGTTTTGTAATTTTTGCCGAAATATATGTAATGTTGTAATTGGTATAATTATAGATGTGAATAGACATAGTCGAATCAAAAATCTTATTGTCTAATCGTCTAATCATCGATGATGTCTAACGTTTAATAGTCAATTTAGTACTTATCTATTAGTAAATTTTTTGAAATCGAGACAATTTGTTGCGGCAATTATGGTTTGATGCATACTAATCATTTTCGTACGACTAGGGACATCATACGTTAATAATATAAGATAACTGCGCGACGATGTCACGCGAAACCAGGAACGGAAGATGTGAGGTGTATCGGTTTGCATTTAGTAAATATATAGGTTGTCGAACTATTGGTCATGTGAAGTATGGTGGCACAGATCCCAAAGGACAAATTAATTTTTAGGATCATATACAACATGACATGAACATAAAGATTTAAAGCAACCGTTCGTTTTGTCAAAGTTATTTATATTATCAAAATTTTTCCCAATCGATTCAACATCTTGTTAATTTTAACTTAAATACGAATGTTAGTCTTTATAGTAATGAGTTCTAAATAATTTTGCATTACTTGAATATGTGCCATGTTCGTGGTGCGGCCAAAATTCTTTAAAGCTTGGTTGCTTATGCTGATTTTTGAGAAATAAGCAATTTTTGACAAAATGAAAGTTTGTTTGAATTTTCTTGATGGTTAAGTCCCACCTGATCTTGAAATCTGATTCGTAGTTTAAGAAATCTGCGCCATAAGTAGGGTTGGGAGCATGAAATATTTTCGGGCATGTCTTTGCGAAGGGCATGCCCCCTATAGATATATATAACATATATTATCGTAATTATGAATAGTAGTCTTTAATTCTAATTGATTAATTTAATAATTGACCAATTATTTAATAACACTATATCACATTATAAGGCATGTTTTTTGGTTAATGGGCTCAACCCGTGCCTCAAGTCTAGCCATAAACCCAGCACACATTCAAGACGTGCAAGAATTTTATGTCACAAACCTAGCACAACAGTTATTTAATTGCATTGCAAATTTAAAATATCACTCATTTCTCATAGGTTACTCAGCATGCCATCTTAGAGAAATTTGCATGTCATTATTGTTCCTTGTTCTTCATATTGATTTTTTATTATATAGTGTAATTCAGTGAGTCTGCACTAATCTAATCCAACTCTCATGTAACCTATAGCAGCTAAGTTAAAATAAGCATATTATATTTAGTTGGTGAGTTCTTGTTTATAGATAAGTACTGGTTTCTCTTTGAGCCTTTTCTTAAATCTTTTCTTGTATGTCTCAACCTAGAATTACATTGTGTCAAATCAGGATTAGAATTCTTCTTCTTTTATTAATGACCTTCTTGGTTACATGACTTATTATGAGTGATCAACTTGTGGTTTAGTGATTTATAAGTAAATGATCATATTAGTAATAGGATTAATAATAGTTTATTGGTTTTTTACAGAATTTGTATTTTTATTACAGGTCAGATATTTATTGTTATAAGGAAAGATATTATAATTTTAAAACAAAAATATCTTTTATTTATAATAAAATTTGTTTTTGTTTTTGTTAAGACTGTAGTTATTGGCAGCTATTGTCTTGATTGTATTTTAATTATGGTTTCATAACTTGTACAAGGTAAGTGTACAACTAGTCACACATACAACTTTTGATTATCTATTTTAAGTTATTCATCTGCATAACAGGTTCTATACTAGCTATCATACTGGGGTGTGGTGATCTAGTGAAGTAAATAGGTTGTTAACTTCTAAGTGGCAGGTCTAGAGTTCAAATCCTAGTAATAATGAAAATTTGTAATTCTTTCTGTATTATTGTTAACTGTTTTCTGTAATTGGTTAGGATTAGATACCTATAACTTATGTTATATTAGCATAACTAGAAGATCTAGGCACTTGTACAATGTTGTATAAAGGAACACAAACTGGTACCAGATGGTATAAACCTAAAATAAGTTCTTAGATTGTATAAATCACATAAATTAGATAGGAAGATAAAAGCCTATTTGGAAGACCTAAATAAAAAGATAATCTGAACTTTTGATAGTGTTACTATAAAGACTAGATCTATAAAACAGAGTTAGAACTTATAAAATTAGGCAAATATGTTAGTCTTTGAGAAGGAACTAAAAGAACCAACTAAGTTGCTAGAATTTTCAGATTTTAGAGAAAAAGAATATATGCTGACAAATATATAAATTAGAGATATGATTACAATCTATCTTTTTAGACTATTTGAAATAGCAGCTTGATGAAACTTGAATTAAATATCAAAGTAATAGAGATATATTGTGAAATCAGTACTAAGATTAGAATGAATTTTACAAGTACATAGTAGTTTAATGATACTTCTTAACTACCAATATTGGTCTCATCATAGTAATACTAGGTCAGTTATAAGAATGAAATATAAAATATTTTAAAAGGTTTAGTACAAGATCAAAGGTTCCAAAAAACTGCTTTAAAGACTTAGTAATTATGATATATTTTTATTGACATTAGTCAGAATCATTGGTAGGCAGAGGTAGATGGATGGATATAAAAACTAGAGTGATTAAATAGGGAATCTACAAGCAGATTCTAGATATAATAACTAGTGTAAAACCTTCAAACAGACTACTTAAATTAGACAATAACTAAAGTTATACAAGTAGCTAGTTGTATACTTTTTTTATAATTGCTTCTTGTGGTTATAATGCAACCATTAGCCAAATAACTATTAATAAAATTCTGGGTTGCAAATACTTACTTTAATATTTAAAAAAAAAAAATTAGTTGTCATATTTGTAATCTACTAGAAAATTACCTATTTAAACACTCTAATTTCTATACTTAAATTGACAAATAGCATACAAGTTTTTGTATACCTAAGTGCTATCTAACCTAACCTTAATCTTTCTTTCTGTATATCCATTAAATTGTTACATATTTCAAAGTATATTATCTGACTATAAGACTTCAGAGTATTCTTTTGTTAACTAATTATCCATATTTAATTCTTGTTAACAGGACTCATTTTTGCAGAGTTCATCTAGACCCTAGTACTAACTTTATAGTATATCTTTAGCACTTATAGTATACCTTTGCTTCTGACTTCAGCTTCTAATCTAGATAGCTCAGAAGGACTATAACCTGTTTCTAATATCTTAGAGTCTGTCTTTTAAGATTCTTTTTCTTCAATTTGAGACTTCTGATGTCTTAGTTAGTGATATCTCTTATCTAAAGTTCTTGCCTGCCTGATTTCTTTTATATTGGTATCTATTTTTTAGATCTAGTCATTATAATAATACTGTCAAAAATCTGTACTATTTCTTTATTTGAGTCTTTCCAAGTAGGCTCTATCTTTCCAGTTTTACAGATTTATACAGTTACAAAAACTTATCTTGAATTTGTATCATTTAATACTGGTTTGCATTTCTTTGTGTAACTTCAATATTGTGCAGATGTCTTATACCTGCCAGTCTTGCTAGTGTGATTATAGTTACAGGTATCTTATCCAAACTGATTAACAGAATGTTGTTATTATAATACTGTCTATATATTATATAAGTGATTATTCAAATTTTTACCATCAGTAGATTTTGAACTTACAACCTATTACTTTGAGATTAACAACTTATTTACTTTACTAAGTTACCACATCCTTTTATAATAAAATATTTGCAATTAATTTCTTTTATAAATATAATATATCCTTATACTTATATTTTAATAAAATCTAATAAAAGATTGATATTCTATTTAACAGATATGCACTCAAAGTAACAAAAACAATATAAATAATATAAGTAATATTTCTATTATGTTTTGTGTAATCTTAGATTAAATAAAAATTGTCATTTTAATTTAGGCATTTAATTTTAAAAATTTAGCTTATAATAGATAACTGTTTATGCAAATTTATCTTTTTATAAAATATAATTGATCAATATTTTAAAAGTAATATTATAATAGTTATAATATATTTAAGAATTTATTAAACTGTAAATAATATTTTATTAATATTACTAATTTTATTTAAATTCTAATTATAACTTTCAAGAACTCAAATTGAAATACTTTGAATTACAATTACAAAAATGATTATAATATAAAATAAATAATTAAAACTATTTGAATATATAAGAATTATATTACCATTATATTGGGTGTGATGACTTAGTAAAGTAATTAAGTTGTTAACTTTTCAAGTGATAGGTAGTAAGTTCAAAATTTACCAACAGTAAAAATTTGAATAATCACTTATGCAATATATAAATGGTATTATAGTGATGGCATTCTGTTAATCAGTTGAGATAAGATATCTGTAATATGGTTATATCAGCATAACTGGCAGCTTATAGGACATCTGTACAATGTTGGAGTTACACAAAAAAAATGCAAACTAGCATCAGATAGTGCAAACCCAAGATAAGTTTTTGTAGCAGTGTAAATCTATAAACTGGAAAGCTAGAGCCTATTTGGAAAGATCTGAATAAAGAGGTAACACAGATCTTTAACAGTACTACTGTAAAGACTAGATATAGAAAATAGATACCAATGTAAAAGAAATTGGGCAGACAAGAACCTTGAATAAAAAATACTACCAACCAGACTATCAAAAGTTTTGAACCAGAAGAAAAGGACCTTAGAAGCCAGACTCTAGTTTTAAAGACAGGTTATAGTCCTTCTGAGCTATCTAGATTAGGAGTCTAAGGTTAGAAGCAAAGGTATATTATAAGTACTAGATATATGCTATGAAGTTGATATTAAGGTCTAAGTAAACTCTGCAAGGA